TTCAATTTACTCATAAATAAAACGTTATTTTCAAAAACCAAATACATGGTTGTTTATCTTATATAATAGGGTACCTAAGTTCAGAGTATGAGCGAAATCGATTTTTCAAGAGTTGGCACGATTTTTTGAAAATGTTTGATTCTTACCGGCATCCACTCTTAAATTGTTGAATTTATTACGGAAATTTGTATTTCAGATGGTCGCTATTTTGGAGCATGGATTGGATTGAATGATATAGACGAGGAAAGCACGCTCAAATGGTCCAACGATCAACCGCTGACATACATGTCTGCAGTACAAAACCAGGACCCTGACAAGGATTGCGTGTATTTGAGAAAGGACAAGGGATCGATTACAACTTGGAGCTTTGAGTCATGTTCCGAAGAACATCCATTTGTCTGCGAAAAACTGTGAAACATAGTCTTTATCGACTAGAGGATATAGTAATAGATCGTTTCGAAAAATGGCGGACAAAATTCAAATAACAATAATTATTTCGACGAACGTTCGAGCTCGCTTCTCATCCATAAAAAAATGATATGTATTGTTACACGAAAAAGAGTCAGTCGGCATTTGAAAATTGTTTAATAAATTGTCCGCGATTTTTTGAGTGTGTCTATGATAAAACATCTCTTTTTGGTATTGGGGTTGAAATTTTTAATCTAAAGGTACTGGGCTTTAATAGGTAGTTGTTGTTAGAAGGGGTTGATTTAGGAATATCCTCCCCTCGCAGTCCTTATCAGCACCCAYACTGGGCTTTTATAGGGTGGTTATTGGAAGAAGGGCTGGCACTTTTGTTCAAATTACAAACATAAACAAAATAATTAGCATTACGAGAGTTAACGTATGTCACGTAAACTGTCGTTCCATGCGATCATCCAACGTCTTCTTGCATGAATGGGGACTACAATCTTACTCTCTCTTTTATACTTTATGATATAATACACATATGGTATTTACTACTATTTTCTAGGGATAACATTACTTAAGTAATTTTTCTGTTTCAGTACTTGTCATTATTTAGGGATGTTCAGCTGCATAATTACATGATAATGTAAAACAATCAACTTGATTATAAGCTCTTCAATGGATTTAAAAGAGCCAAGGTTTGACTAAAACAGCGCTTGATCAGTTGTTAGTAAAACTACATTAGGTTTAGATTTGTGATTGTTTTTGTCAAAGTATATTCATTTTGAGTTAGCAAAAACAATTCAGAAACAACAAGCTGCTAATTTAAACACATTTTCTCATTTTAAGCAATTAAAATTATTTTCTGTTTACTAGTAATTCTCGTGAATTACAATTTATTTTGTCTCGTTTTTCTTTCCGTTTTAATTTTYATGTGGTTGCCTTTTTAATTTCTTCATAAATTATCTTCAATTRCTGTACTAACATTATCTAGAGATTTGCACGTGTTGTTCGAAAGATCTGGAAGTCTCTTTCCAAACATACTTTCTTAATTTAAAGCCGTGCTAATTGAGAGGCAACAGTTGGATATCTTTGTTTCTTATTCATTTAAAAGTGTTTACAACAAGGTCAAGAGTCAGTTCACTCTGGGCTTGCATATCAAACGTATCTCCAAAAACCGTAAGTGAAATTTTGAATTGGTAACATATATTTTCTGAGGATTTGAAAATATGTATCATGAACACTGCTTCAGAAATTTTTAAACCTTAAAAAAAGAAATTAAAAGTTGTAGCGTTTCTAATATTAATCTCAGATGTACTAAGAAATTTGGGAGTAAAAMCAGACAAAACCAAAAAAAGAGAAGGAAAAAGAAGCAGRAMYTTTAGATCTTCGCCAAATTAGAATAGTGAGATCATTTCACACCCATCAAAAAGCTGACTAGAACATTTTGTTACTTGGACGCTAACTTTGAATATTCAAGACTTGGCTTTGCCGCAATTATATGCCATAATATGAAGTAGAGATATTTCAACAGTGTGGTTCTACGTGTCTTAGAACACGTACTCATAAWATCGTATTTTCAGGGTTTACAGGGGGTCAGAACGCGTCGGCGCCTCGAAAAAAATTAAATTATTTCTCTCGGTAAACATTTTGCATTCAGAGATGTTGTTGTTGAAGTTCATTGTGCGGCGTCTTTCGTTTACAGTTTAAAAGATACTTTTAAAAAAGTTATGAATATTCATCTGTACATTGGATTGAGATCGTGTGTTGTCATGGCTAMCTTGGGGACCTTATTACGGGAATCAGGCGGTGATAAAATGATCGCCCATGATATTTTGAGCAAAATATGATCGCTTGTTCTGTGGTTTAGCTGTAATTCGTAACTTATATGGTAATGACCGAAAGTACTTACGAAACAGAAAAAAAACTATGAAAGCTTTCATTTGAAATATCGGTTTATCAAAAAAAATATCGCCAATAGTTAATTAGATGATTTAACTTCTAGCTCTAACGACGATGTGGTTTTTAATCTTGACTGTCATATCGATAACAAACGTCACCATCGTAACCTGTGACCTCATCAACCTTGACAACATTTGGACCTCGACATCCACATTCCATCGTGACCACAACTTTTCCCTAATTGGTCACGTGATAAAGACCCTGCCTTTGTTCATTGCCGACTGCCTGGCAGCTTGCCAGGAAACGCTAAGGTGTTTCTCAGTGAACTATATTAATTTTCACAATGGYACGTATAATTGTGAGTTGAATTGGTCAAACAAGAAACAAAGCAAAGACTCGTTTGTGAGAAGAGAAGGCTATGAATACGCTGAACCAAAGGTAGGCTGAATAAACGGAYATAAKAASGGTAATAMCAGACATGAAATGCATACCTCCTCAGATTTCAGACACCATATGATCTTCAGAATCACATGCTTATTTCTTTGTCACTCTTGAGAAGATGTTCAAATCTTAAACGTAAGAACATGTTTGCAAGTATTTGCTTACATCGTGAGAAAAATAATACCATACAATGATTATTAACATGCGTTTCCACCATTTTAAAACTTCATTCCAAACCCAACCGGACAGCTAGCCGCCTGATTATTAACATTAGCATTTCCACCATAAACTTCATTCCAAACCCAATAAAGACAACTAGTCGCCATAGCATTTTTCATCATATATTGTGATTTGCTTCTTTTATGGGACAGCAACTTCCAATTTGGATTAGTTCAAGCAGTTTTCCAATGGAGTTTTATAGCTTTCATAACGGGTACTTGTTACCTCAAAATCCCCCCTTAATTTGTATTACAATATCAAGGGGCGGATCCAGCTAGTGAGTTCAGGGGGTGTGCTCCCCCTCCTGACATTTCGGTATTCTTTAGTACTTTCCTTGTTTTGTATGTTCATGGTAATGATTTTTTCGGGGTGCACCCCCTCCCTGAGGAAAATCCTGCATCCACCCCTATATCACAACCATAATGGCGATTACCTTGAATAAGATCTAGGAATTACTATGAAATATTTATAAATTTAACAATCCATGTACTCTTCTGTATATTTGACAGCTTTTCCTGTATTGTGAAGGAAAGTCATGTGCAAAAAAAGGTAATTTTCACCAATAAAGCTGCATTAACGAATAAATCAATCATGACCTCGATCTGACGATAGATCTTCTCAAAAATGGCTGCCAAACAAAATGACCTCTGAATTACTAAAGATCATCATGTAAATCATAAAATATGAATATGACAAAATTATATCTCTATGGATAAATTATATTAGAACTCACTGAGGTACCAATTGTATCAAAAAACGTCTCCGCGATTTGCACACATTTAAAAACATTCACCATCTTTGATTTTGTAAAAATCCGAAAGCGCTTTTCGCCAAGAGATCACTCTTAAAAAAAAGCTTGCAATGTTTCGTGAATGCACATTTTCAATGGTCATGCTTTCTCAGTATACCATAACCCGCGAATATGAAGGCCGTTTTGGCAAAGAGTCTATCGAATCGAATCATTGTTTAGCAATATATATGCTCTTTAGCTATAGAAGATGATGGATGGTTCAAATTCAACTCGTCACTGTTCARGATGATCTACAACAAAACAACATGGACYGGTGCAAAAGCCCATTGTAACTCTCTTGGCGGTSACCTGGCATCTTTTGGATCGCACACAGAATATAGATTYGTCCAAGAAAMCATGCTTTACTGTAAGGAATTCTTATAGTAGCTAATGCCTCTATAAGYCTCTATTGATCGTTTTCAACCATTCCCATKAGATTCAAAAGATAAAAGACAGGYGGCCATGTTGGGGGAATAAACAATAGATACKAATGAGAAATCCTTTGTTGAAGTTCCTCCAAGATGGCCCCTCAATTAGTTTCATTGWGTATATATACCTATTTCAAAAGATGTTGTCGGATAAAATTACGAATGTCAATTGTCGACTGGGTTTTGGTAATTGATGAGAAAATAACAACTGAATTATACTTTAATATTGTTCGGGATTCCTGTGGCAAACATGRCCACGTGATTAGAGTCCTTCTAGAGTTTTTGCCGCTTTTCATTCCTTTCTATGTTATCTTCATGTCTTCCGCACTTTCTATGGGCCATTATCGTAAGTGTAATTGTTGTTCTAGTCATGTTGGAGTTATTTGTAATTTATATTGTATTTTAGGGTTTAATTTTGTATGCAATTTGTAATTCGCTTCCTTCGTGTTGATCGTACTCGCTTGTAACTTGTATTTAGTTTTACTTGTACTTGACCGCCGAAGCTGGCGTTTCTGAATAAACTAGTTGAAGGATGCCCGATTATTTGTCCCAAACATGCAGATCTAGTCCGTGGCTCACACTAACTCCATTCAGTTTCCATTGCTATGCAAGTTTAAATACGTTTTTTAATGGTGTACATCAAGGGTGTAATCCTTTTTATTTGGATTTAATTGCAGATGATTTCTTGATTGACACACGAATCGAGATTTACAGGTAATAGCAACACCCAATGTGCACCATCTACATCACAATGTCTTTGCATTGCCACTGTCAGTTCAGGAGATTACTCCCATTTGAAATTGAAATGTCAACATGTCACCACTAAAGAGCTTGTAAAAGAAGTGGAGGAAGGTCTACTATTCAAAATACTCGATAATTAGTGCTCTAAACGATGTCAATGTCTAGCCTTTGGTAGTGGAGTAGCCTTTGGTAGTGTAGGGAAAAAGTCAACAACGTCTCCTCGATAAAAATTACTATCAAATAACCATTTATAGAATTTTTGAAAGAATTTCTGAACAGAGCATTTATGAAAAACAATTTCTTTTAATATCCATTTAACAGTGCAATGAATCAAATAAAAATACTTCAATGTACATTAAACATTTTTTTTCAGTTTGCACGGAGGAGCAGCCATAGTAAYCAAGGACAACCGAAAGGCCGTTTACTTTGACGGAGTTGATGACTACGCAACTGTTCCAAAGTTCGACATTAGTAAAAGTGACTTTACCATMGCTTTTTGGTTTAAAGGTGCCGGAAGCAAATTTGGATTTTGGAACWTCTTCAACGATCWAACGAGCAGCTCAAACAGACAGTTCACAATATACATCTACTCTAGATCCATGACATTTGCATTTTTTAATACTGACGGTGTACACTTGGTACAGAAAGGATCTTCAATAACGTATGTAGACTTTTACCTTACAATARGCCTTTTGCATGAAACGGTCACATGGTACAAAATCCGCCATACTGGATTGCAAAATACCCACTGGGATGTWCAAAACAAAGAAAAGTCAAGCTTGACAGGCTGTGTTCCTTTTGTTTTTGACGTTGTTTACATTCTTTTGCCATCCAGTATGGCGGATTTTGTACCATGTGACCGTTTCATGCAAAAGGCCTATACAAACTGCCTAAGGCAAAGACAAAAGTATACTTACACCGATTTAGAGTACTTAAGCGAACTCCTTTTTTTAAAGATTGAGTTATATAAGAACAAGAATAATAACTTGTCTAAGTATGTTAAGTGAACTCAGGGTCAAATATCAGAGAAACTCCCGGGGGGGGGGACTCCCTAATATCAAAGGGAGGGAGTCCTCGGCGGAAATTAAGAAAATGACCCCTAAGAGGGACCTGTATTTGGAGATGATGGGCGTGGCAGTGCTGAAATTTCATCCCTAAAAGGGACCAATAATCTCGTCTATTAAGGAGTGTTAAGTGACAAGACGTGAAATTGATTAAAATAAAATCAATCATCTAATTAGCAGCTGTGGTTTTTGATCTCATAATGACGGCTTAGGGACGTCATATACCCTAAAAGGGACCACAAAACTCAGTTGGTGGGAATTCTCGTCATTATCACCCTAAGCGGGACCAAAATACCGATTTCAAACCCTAAAAGGGACGCCGAGGACCCCCGC